TAAGCCTAATTAGCCATTATAAATGCCCCAATATTTTTTTTTTTTTTTTTTTATTTTAACTTCAACTGCCATTAGTTTCACCATCACATGGTCCCACCTTCAGTCCAATTAGCAATGATTTCCGTTTTTACAAGGTCCATATCATGCACTTGCAACATAAAACATTGGAGAGTGGAGAAGAATATTGTTGAATTTTGCAATTTTTTTAGGTAATCGTGGGTATAGGTTTTAGTCTAAAATTTACTTATGTATAATTATCATGGGTTAACTTTAATGTTTAGTCAATTTCAAGCCTGAAATTAATCAAAAAAATAATAAAGATTAAGTATTAGTAGAGAAATTTGGTTGCATGTAAAATGAATTGAGTTGGCGTACCTTCGCATGACCTAATTCATATTTTGTATCCTTTAATCGAGTTCGAGTAGTACTATGAGTTGTCTAAGAACTCTTGAGTTGTGTCAGATTGACATTGGTGGTATGTGGTTTAGTAATTACTCTTAAAATTAAAATCGCAATAAGACGTTTGAACGTTAAGCTAATTGCTTAAGTTAAAGACAAAAAGAAAACCAAGGCCTACCTTCTTATCTTAATGCAGGCATGACATATCTCATAAAAGCGGGTTAAAGCTACTTAGAGCACGGATAAGAGTAGATTAGAAATGAATGTTTCCCCCCTAAGTCCCCTCGGGGGGATTAGGCAACAAAAACTATTGGAACAAGTTTCAGCTACTTCAATTACCGTACCCTTTTCTCTAGATCGGTTATCGCCCTAGTCAGTAGGATCGGTGTATACTTTGTCAGCTACCAATTTCGAGCTCCTTAGTAAAGCCAAAAAAATAAAAAGAGAATGAAGAAGAGGCAGGAAAGGGAAAGGAAGAGGCCTCTTCGTATGCTTGTCCTGCCATGCCATTCATTTCTCCATAGAGGGACTTAAGTACTTACATATGGATCCCCATCCCTTATGTAAGCTTTTATCAATGCATCTTCCCACCCATTTCCTGTTCAGTTGTTGAACCTAAAATTTACTTATGTATAATTATCATGGGTTTAATGTTTAGTCAATTCCAAGCTTGAAATAAAGCAAAAAATAGTGAAGATTAAGTATTAGAAGAGAAAGTTGGTTGCATGTAAAATGAGTTGAGTTGACGTACCTTTGCATGACCTAATTCATATGTTGTATCATTTAATCGAGTTTGAATAATACTATGAGTTGTTTAAGAACTCTTGAGTTGTGTCGGATGGGATATTGGCTGCATATAACTTAGTAATTACTCTTAACTTAAAATTAAAATCCCAATAAAACGTTTGAACATTAAGCTGATTGTTTTAAGTTAGACAAAAGAAAAAAAAAAGAAAAAAAGAAAAAAAAATCTTGAATTATTTAAGAGAATTTAGAGTTGTTCTAAATTTTTATTGTTTTTAAAAGGGAAAATTGCAACAGTGGTCCCTAATCTTTTCATTTTTTGTAGACTTTACCCTAACATTCATTTTGTACCAGAGGATGTTCCTAACCTTTCATAAATAAGCACCTGAGGTCCATCTGGACGAAAACCATCCAAAACACCATTAGTTGATCGAAAAAATCAGGAATCAACATCCAATAAAACAGTCCAAAACATCATCCAAAAATATCGTCCAAAAAGGAATCAACATCAAATAAAATTGTCGCAATAGCAGATAGTTTAAAGAATTTTCTAGTCATCTAACAGTTTTTTGGACAGTTTCCGTCCAGATGGACTTTAGATGCATATTTATGAAAGGTTAGGGACCTTCGCTGACTCAAAATGAAGGTTATGATAAAATCTGCAAAAATAAAAAAGGTTAGGGACCGCTACTACAATTTTCCCATTTTAAAATTCATGTGATATATGCCTACATAAATGGGACTTGTCGTTTACACACGTTTAACATGGATTTTACGTTGCTTGACATAGGTCGAACAATAAGTGGATCATGTCAGTCCAACGCAACCTGCCAACCTCTTTACACTATTAATCTCGTTTGAAAATTTTGATTATCTTATAAGAGAAAAAATTATTTATGTTCAAGACATCATTTGCAAGTAAACTATTTTTCCTTAAAATTTGTATATGTGATTTTTTCTAAAAGCAAAAAGACCTAAAAGCTATTTGTGTAGTCTAATCTCAAATTGGGTTATCTATTAAATTAAATTTTAATAAAATATAAAATGTTGGTGAAAAAACTAGGTAGCATTACATTTAATCCTAAGAAAGTAGTTGGAAAATCAGAATATAAATTTGTCTTAGTCTATGATTATAATTACATGAGAATATTTCAACAATGTCAATGTCTCGTATAAATTGGGAAAAAAAAGTGTTAAATAAACCATAAAAAAAAATAAAAATTAAAATGAACTTGCTGATTCGATTCAAAAAATTGAGAATTGATTGAAAATCAGTCCGATTATTCTCTAAAAATTCTATATATTCGTTCCAAATTTAACAACGTTGAAATTATAAACTATAAATTACCAATTAACATAGGACATTGTACCATGCATAAGAGATATTGCAATAACATGTATTGCAAATTTTTTATTTTTTTAAAAAAGCAAGTGATCAAAGGATTTTACCTCCTAAAGGAGGTTGAATCAGTTAAAGGCTTCGCTCGATAATGGGCTTATGTCAGATCCGCAACACAAGTGGGCCCAACGTCTCAAAAGGCTTCACGGAAAAAGCCCATAAATGCCATAGGGGTAAAGTAAGGGTACGTGAATAACCCAACCCTTTGAAACTTTAGTCTTAGCTTGAAAATGATGGTTAATCGTTCATCCCCGATTAATAACGTTATTTTTACCATAATTTTAGTGTGTTAAACCGATAAAAAGGAATGATCTTCTAACATGGGGAACAAATTAATAACTATATTTGATATTCTCTTTGATAATACGTAATCTACCAACGTTCTTAGTATCTACTATAGCATTAGAGACAATGTTTAGTGCAAAGAGTAGGGTTATTTGAGGTTTTAATGTACTTTGAGAATGGAAAGGTGAAGATTTTCTGTAGGAATTGGTTCAAATTATTAATCAAAAATTGGAAAATGAAAAGACATGTAAAAGTGGAAAATGAAAAGGTGTGACTATGTGTCAATTTCGACCAAATATTCGGACTTGATCCGATAGTCAAATTACAAAAGTAAATAGACCAACTTATTCTACTCGTCGAGTAGATCGTCGTGGTATATTTGGAATCTCGAAACCAATTTCAGATGAATAAAAAATTGCGGACCAAAATTGAAAGAAATGAAGTGTTGCAACTTCTCGAAAGGATGCAACTTTTGGTCAAGTGTTGCAACTTTTTTAAAAGGATGCATATTTTGGCCCAAACTACTTCATTTGCACCATTTCTACATCTATAAATAGAACTTATGGACATGATTTTAGGTACACCAATTGCATTGAGCATTCATTCTCTTTTTGCAATTCTCTCCTTTCTAATTCCATAGCATTTCATACATTTTCTTTGTAGAGGGGAAATTCTGTCAAAAGTTCGTCGGTTTCTTGTGGTTTGAAGTGCTGCTATCACAAGTTGTGAATCCATTATATCTTGGAAGACAAGTGTCATTCACCGTGAGAATCGTAGCGGGGCAATTTGTCTTAAGAAAAGAGATAATGTCTCGCCTTGGATTATTCTTTATTTCTACTCCTTCTTAATCCTTGTTTTGCATAATCTCTATACTGAAACTCTGTTCAAATTTCCATTTATATAAATTGTGTTTTGATCACGCTCTTGCGGGTTAAAACTGGTCAAACAAATATATCAAAAATCAACCCTTACATAACCCTTTTTATAAGTCGTCTCAAATAATCTTAAGACAAATTTTGTGTCTTTGTGGTTGGTTGTGGACAATATTACTTTGTTTGAATAGTGCTTTGTGTACTATTCCTCCACCGTTATTATCATCATTTTGTTGAACTTCTGTTTGTGTAACAGAAATGACCACCATCGGGATTTCATCAAGTCAAAATGGTTCCAATAATGTGATACCACCCGTGGCCATACCGTAGTCTAATACTACTATCCCACATGGGGAAAAGCAGGAAAAATTTGCAGGATTAGATTTCAAGAGGTGGCAACAAAGGATGTTATTTTATCTCACCACTCTTAATTTAGCTAAATTTCTAAAGGAAACTGCACCGACTGTACAAGAAGGGGAAAATAATCGTGAATCGATTATTGCTTTGGACGCATGGAAACACTCAGACTTCCTATACAAGAATTATATCCTAAACACATTGGATAATACACCATATGGGGTGTTTATTTCAAAGGAATCAACCAAGGAACTATGGGATTTTTTGGAGACAAAGTACAAGATCGAGGATGTCGGAACAAAGAAGTTCATTGTTGGCAAATTTTTGGACTACAAGGTGGTGGATTCCAAAATCGTAATTAGCCAAGTGCAAGAGATTCAAGTCTTGTTGCACGACATCCACACCGAGAAAATAGAATTGAGGGAATTATTCCAAGTGATTGCCATTATTGAGAAACTTCCTCTTATGTAGAGAGATTTCAAAAATTACCTCAAACACAAACGCAAGGAAAAGAATTTGGAAGAATTGATTGTGCGCTTGAGGATTGAAGAGGACAATCAAAAAACCGAACGAAGGCCTGTTCATCAAGATGGTGCAAATTTTGTCGAAATGGAACCAAAAGCAACAAACAAGAAACGAAAGGCTCCTAATTATGCACCGTGAAGAGACAATTCCAAGAAAGCTAAGAAGTTCAAAGGAAATTGTTACAACTGTGGCAAGGCTGGATATCGTTCAAGTGAATGTCGAAAGCCAAAGAAGAATACTCAAGCCCACATGGTTGCAAATAACACTATATCTGATGGACTGCAAGAAATGAGTTTATCGCAGTAGTGTCCAAATGCAACATGATTGAAAATACTAGAGAATGGCGGATTAACACCGGTGCTATCCACCATATGTGTGTGGACAAGGGGATGTTCTCCAACTATCAAGAATTGAATGGGGAACAACTATACATGGGAAATTCTGCAAGTTCCAAAGTTGAAGGGCAAGGCAAAGTCATTTTGAAGATGACATCCGAGAAAGAACTCGTCCTCAACAATGTCCTACATGTACCGAATATACGAAAGAATTTAGTGTCCGGGTCTCTACTTAACAATAATGGTTTTAAACTTGTATTCATATCCGATAAATTTGTGTTGTCTAAGAATGAGATGTATGTAGGGAAATGATACATGTGTGATGAAATGTTCAAGTAGAACGTTCTTACAATTGTGCCGAAGCAAGTCGTTATGAATAAAACTATAAATTCCGTTTACTTGCTTGAGCCTTCATGTTTGTGGTATAGTCGATTAGGACATGTGAATTACAAATCGTTGCGCAAACTAATGAATCAAAGTTTAATTCCGGCGTATAAAATCAGTCTTAATCATAAATGTGAAATATGTGTCAAAGTAAAATTGGCTAAAACACCGTTCCATTCAATTCAAAAGAACACAACCCCTCTTGAATTGATCCATAGCGATATATGCGATCTAAAATTTGTACAAACTCGAGGTGGTAAGAAATACTTTGTGACATTTATTGATGATCGTATAAAGTTTTGCTATGTCTTTCTTTTGAGAAGTAAAGACGAAGTCTTAGATGCATTCAAAACCTATAAGGCTAAAGTTGAAACACAACTTGAAAAACGAATAAAGAATATTCGTAATGATAGAGGAGGTGAATATGGGGCACTGTTTGAAGACTTTTATTTTGAACATGGAATTATTCATCAAATAACGGCACCTTACTCTCCTCAATCAAATGGTGTTGTAGAACGCAAAAATAGAACACTTAAAGAAATGATGAATGCTATGTTAATAAATTCAGGTTTACCACAGAACATGTGGAGAGAGGCTATTTTAATGGCAAATAGTCTTCTTAATGAAATATCTGTTAAGAAAATGGAAGAGACACCATATGAACTATGGAAAGGCCATCCTCCATCCTATCAATACTTGAAAGTGTGGGGGTGTTTGGCTAAGTTTGAGGTACCTAAGCCTAAACAAGTGAAAATCGATTTTAAAACGATAGATTGCACATTTATTGGATACGCCAATAATAGTAGTGCATATCGATTTCTTGTACACAAATCTGAAATACAAGACGTACACGAAGAGACCATAATTGAATCAAGGAATGTGACATTTTTTGAAAATATTTTTCCTTATAAAGATAAGAAAAATACGAGTTCTAACAAGAGAATATATGAAACTACCAATGGAACTTCAAATGAGGAAGAACCAAGGTATAGTAAAAAGGCTAGGACTTCCAAGACGTTTGGTCCAGATTTTCTAACCTAAATGGTAGAAGATGATCCAAAGACTTTCGATGAATCAATGTCTACACCGGAAGCACCACATTGGAAAGAAGTTATCAATAATGAGATAGATTCTATAATGCAAAACCATTCATGGGAGTTGGTTGATTTACCTCCCGATAGGATATTCAAAAAGAAATTGAAAATTGACGGATCCATTGATAAATATAAGGCTAGATTGGTTGCTAAAAGATATAGGCAAAAAGAAGGACTTGATTTCTTTGATACTTACTCACCCGTGACTAGAATCACGTCCATAAGGTTGTTAATTACAATTATGGAAATACACAATCTTGATATTCATCAAATGGATGTAAAAACAGCATTCTTCAATGGTGAGTTAGAAGAGGAGATTTACATGGAGCAACCTGAAGGGTTTGTTTCTCCTAACCAAAAACACAAAGCGTGTAAACTTGTTAATTCCTTGTATGGATTAAAACAGGCTCCTAAACAATAACACCAAAAGTTTGACAAAATAATATTGTCAAATGGATTCAAGATCAACGAATGTGACAAATGTGTATATATTAAACATACACCATATGCCTATGTAATTGTATGTCTATATGTGGACAACATGTTAATAATGGGCAATAGTCACGAAATGTTGCTTAACACCAAAAAGATACTAACAAAGCATTTCGATATGAAAGATATGGATGTGGCAGATGTAATCCTAGGGATTAAAATCTTTAGAACGCAGGATGAAATTATACTTTCACAATCTCACTACATAGAAAAAAGTACTTAAGAAGTTTGACGTGTTTGAGGAAAGTCCTGCGAGAACTCCTCTTGATCTGAGTATGCACTTAGTCAAGAATACGGGAGAAAGTATATCACAACTAAGGTATTCACAAATAATTGGCAATCTTATGTATATTACAAACTGCACTCGACCGGATATTACTTTTGCGGTGAATAAACTTAGTAGATTTACAAGTAATCCAAATCGTGATCATTGGAAGGTTTTGACGCGGGTTCTAAGGTACTTGAAGTATACCTAAACCTATGGATTACACTTCACAAAATATCCTGCGGTACTAAAAGGATATTGTGATGCGAATTGGATATCCGATATGAAAGATTCCAAGTCTACTAGTGGTTATGTATTCACCATTGGTGGAACTGTTGTATCATGAAAGTCAACAAAGCAAACGTGCATAGCTCGATCAACGATGAAATCTGAGTTTATTGCTTTGGACAAAACTGGAGAAGAAGCAGAATGACTTCGAAATTTCTTAGAAAATGTTCCATGTTGGCCCAAGCCAGTACCTACGATAAGTATACATTGTGATAGTCAATCAGCAATTGAAAGGCTTGAAGCAGCATGTATAATGGTAAGTCTAGACATATTCGTCGTAGACACAACACCATTAAGCAACTGATCTCAAATGACGTTATCTCCATAGATTATGTGAAATCAAAAAAGAATATTGCGGATCCACTTACGAAAAGTTTGCCTAGAGATAAAAATGTGTTGCCTATCGAGAGGAATGGGATTAAAGCCTACAGCGTAAGAGTTTTTGCAATGATAACCCTACCTTTTTGACTAGAGAGCCCAAGATCTTGGTTCAAAGGGACAACTAAGTTGTGAAATTTCCATGAAGCACTTAGGAAATTAGAATTCCTAACTCATTCCTATGATACTAAAGTGCTTTCTGCAGAGTGAATAGAGGCTAAGATTATCTTTTAATGATTCCTATATCTTGATTAAGTCAAGTGAAGAAGGACAGAATACTCTTAATAGGAGGTCACCTATGTAAGTGTGAAGTGTGGCCGCTTCGATAAAAATTGTTTAAGGTTTGAATTCTCTAAACACTTATGAAACTAAGAAGGGTTCATGGCCAAAATGAACCAAGACATGAGAACCAAGTACAGAATATGAAAGATATCTGTGTGAGTACTGTTGTTTTGACTTACACTAAAGGCTGAGTGGTTCAAGACCTATGGTTCACCAATTAGCCGAGTAAGTCCGATAGTATTTCACTAAGGGAGGTTCAAGGCCAGAAGCCACCATCCCTGATGCAGTATTTTTTTCCACTCTCTCTACATTTCATCATATCATCGCATTTGCATACGCGTACCCGAATTTCCATTCATGTGGGGGATTGTAGGAATTGGCTCAAATTATTAACCAAAAATTGGAAAATGAAAATGGATGTAAAAGTGGAAAATGAAAAGGTGTGACTATGTGTCAACTTCAGCCAAATATTCGGATTTGATCCGATGGTCAAATTACAAAAATAAATAGACCATCTTATTCTACTCGTCGAGTAGATCGTCGTGGTATATTTGAAATCTCGAAACCAATTCCGAATGAATGAGAAATTACGGACCAAATTTGGAAGAAATAAAGTATTGCAACTTTTCGAAATGATGCAGATTTTGGCCAAGTGTTGCAACTTTTTTAATAGAATGCATATTTTGGCCCACACTACTTCATTTGCACCATTTCTACATCTATAAATAGAACCCTATGGACATGGTTTTAGGTACACCAATTGCATTAAGCATTCATTCTCCTCTTGCAATTCTCTCATTTCTAATTCTATAACATTTCATACATTTCCTTTGTAGAGGGAAAATTCTGTCAAAAGTTTATCAATTTCTTGTAGTTTAAAATGCTGTTACCACAAGTTGTGAATTCATTGTATCTTGGGAGACAAATACCATTCACCGTGAGCACCGTAGCGGGGCAATTTGTCTTAAGGAAAGAGATAATGTCTTGCCTTGGATTATTCTCTATTTCTACTCATTCTTAATCTTTGTTTTGCATAATCTTTATATCGAAACTCTGTCCAAATTTTCATTCATATAAAATGTGTTTTGATCACGCTCTTGCGGGTTAAAACTGATCAAACAAATATATAAAAAACCAACCCTTACATAGCCTTTTTTATAATTCGTCTCCAACATTTTCAAATTCAAGACTGGATTGCTAGTGAAATTTTGAAGATCTCCTCTAGCAATTAAAATCTCGACGAATTATTTGGTACAATAATCTATGGGATTAAAAATAATTTACAATTCGTTTTTTATTGCATACGAAATAATAATTCAAGTACAATTTTAACTCTGCATACTTATCATATAGTTGGTCCTAAGTTCGAATAAAGGAGTGCTTATACAAATTCAAATTTATTTTATCAAACATTTTTTACAAAATTGATTTTTCAATTAAACCTTTATAATTTTTTGACTACGTTACGTTTCAAAATAATACTAAAACTTTTCATTTGAATTTTTAAAAAAAATATTAAATGAAAAAAGGTAGGCCGGCTAGCAACTTGCGAGCTAACTCGGCTTGTTTTACCAATGAGTCAAGTTAATTTTTATATGAGTTGGCACGAGCTTGGCTTGCACCAGCTCATGCAGTGGGTTAAATAGACTAGACTCGACTTGAACTATTAAGGGAGAGGAGAGTATAAACAATGTGGTAGAGAGATGATAAAACGCCTGTTTGGGAAAATTAAATAATTTCTAATTTCTCTTTTTATTTTAATTTTTTTTCCTTCAATATTTTTTCTTTTTTTAAAATTATCATTAAAAATTTATGAAATTACCCATTTGTCCTTCGAAAAATTAGATGTGTAGATTGTACAATACTACAATTCGTCCACTTAATAATCAGATTGTTGGATGTAATTCAAAGTGTGAGACTATTGAGGATGCCTATCTCGTTGGGAATTAATTCAAATTCAGGATTTTGTTTTGACTTAGTATTTTTTGTTGTGTTTGTTGCTATGTTTAGGAAATGAGTTGGATTTTCTATTCTAGATTTGAGGTTGATTTGGTCTATACAGATCATGCCCACTAAGTGTTTGTTATTATGTGTCAATGAGTCTAGTAGAAATATCAGGGAGTAGTGGTCACGTGTTTGTAATTACCAAGTGTTGAATGTCTAATCAATCACTTGGATTCCTTAAATTAAATGGATAGCCAGTCAACTAAAAAAAAAAGCTTTCTTCATGATATTTCATGTATTCATTTCTTTGATTGAGATTTCTACACTATTAGTATCATAGCCAGGTTGAGAAAATTGAAGTTGTGAGTGATCAAACACAGAGAGTTAGAGAGTTGTGAGTGATCAAACGCGTCCACTTATAAATGACTTCTACTAGTGTCGCACCAAACACATCTCAGAATGTTCCTGTCTTTACTGGACTTAACTACCAGTTTTGGCATATCAAGATGAGGACTCTATTTTTGTCCTATGATTTATGGGACTTGGTTGACAACCGTTTTGATGATCTTGTAGATGCAGAGAAGCTAACTGCAGCTCAACTTAATGAGTTGAAAGAAAAGCAAAAGAAGGATGCCAAAGTCTAGTCTTAATTTAGCAAGCACTAGATGATGCCATTTTTCAATAAGTTATGGCTGCCAACATCGAAAGAAGCATGAGACTTAATTGAAGAGGAGTATCAAGGAATAAACAAAGTGGTTACTCTGAAGCTGTAAACCATATATCGGGAATTCTAGAATTTGCAGATGAAGCTATCAGAATCTGTTCAAGAATTCTTTTCGAGAGTTTACTCAATGGCGAATCAGATTAAGTCTCTCGGAGAATAATTGATTGACCAAAAGGTTGTTGAGAGAGTGTTTTACGAAGCCTTCCTCCCAACTTTGATCATAGTGTTGCAATAGAAGAATCGAAGGATTTATCCAACTATTTACTAGAGGAATTAATGGGGTCAATTCAAACACATGAGCACGTATCAACAAAATGGTAGAGACCCCTATTCAACAAGCCTTTTAATCAAAACTTGATTTGAAGAAGAAATCAGATGAGTCAAGTTAATGGAACTCTAGTCGAGGTCGTGGTAGATCATCTCATGGAAAAGGAAGAGGTAGAGGAAGGAGCAATGGTCAACAAAAGAACTCAAATGGAGGTAACAATTCTAATTCTTTCTCATATTGTGGAAGATCAAACCGCAAGGATAAATATTGTTGGTATAAGAAGAAATATCGCCAAAACAAAAAATGCTCCCAATGCTATTATTGCAAGTAATATGGTCATGTTGAGAAAAATTATTTTAAAAAGTCTACAAACAATACCAACTCCCAGGAAGAAAAGGTTTTGATGAAAATTTATTTCTTGCTTAAACATTTGCTCATGGTGATAAGTATGATGATTTTTGGTATCTTGATAGTGGTTGTAGCAATCATATGATTGGCAACAAATAATTCTTGGTGGAGATTGATGAATCCAAGAAGACTAAAGTTAGGATAGGTAACAACAATCAAGTTCAGGTATGTGGAAAGGTTACAATTGCTGCAATGTCAAAGTTTGGAAAGAAAATGTTACATGATGTTATATGTGTACCTGGATTAGCTCATAACGTGATTAGTGTTAGTCAATTAGTGGAGAAAGGCTATTACGTTGTATTTGATGTTGATGAATGCTTGATATATGATAAAAGGAGCATACAGCTAGTCTATTAAGCTAAAATGGGAGAAGATGAGATGTTTCCAATTGTGTTTTTAGAAGTTCCTATTACTGCCTTTCCTACAGCTATTGATGATTCTTTTCTTTGGCATCGAAGATTCGATCATTTTAATTTCAGAGGGCTGACCTTCTAATACAAAAAGAATATGGTGAAGGGTTTTCCAATGATTAAAGATGAAAGGCAAAATTGTGAAACTTGTATCTTTGGAAAGCATTCCCGAAAGACGTTTTCTAAAGGTAAATTGTGAAGAGCTCCAAAGCCATTGATGTTGGTGCATGCAGATGTCTGTGGGCCAATGCAAACACTTTCCTTGAGTGGAAGTAAGTTCTTCCTGATTTTTGTTGATTATTTCTCAAGAATGACATGGGTGTATTTTTTGAAAGAGATGTCAAAACTTTTTGAACATTTCGAACAACTCAAAACAATGGTTGAAATGGAAAAAGGTTGTCCCTTATTAACCCTAAGCACTGATCGTGGTGGTGAATTCACTTCCACAAAATTTAATAATTTTTGTAGCTATAATGGCTTCCAAAGGCAATTCACAGAAAGCTATACTCCACAGCAAAATGAAGTTGCTCAGGGAAAAAATAAAACTATAGTTGAAGCTACTAAAAGCATGCTGAGAGACAAAAACCTTCCTAACAAATTCTGAGCAAAAGCGGTCGGAGTTGCAGAATAACTTCTCAACAGATTTCCAGCTCAAGTAGTTAAAGGAATGACTCCTTATGAAACTTGGTATGAATATAAACCCACTGTAAATCACTTAAAGACATTTGATTGTATTGCCCATGGTTTTGTAACTGCTGAACTAAGAAAGAAATTGGATGATAAAATCATCAAATATTTTTTGTGGGGGTACAGTAAAGAAACTAGAGGCTATAGGTTTTATGATTCTATTTTAGAAAGGTTAATTATAAGTCGTAATGTATTTCTTAATGAAAATGATGCTTGGATTTGGGAAGATGTTCTTTTGTAGCCTACACGTGATGGAGATAGCTAATTTAGAATCGAATAGCCTATGGGAATCTCCTCTGTCATCTCCAGAATTAACACCAAGAAGAGTAAGAAGTCTTACTGAAATTTATGAGTCATGTGACTATGCTTCTATCACCATGGAGCCTAGTTGGTTTGAAGATGCAGTGAAGAAAGAAGAATGGTGTATTGGAATGAGGGAAGAGATTAAAGCAATGGAGAAGAACAAGACATAGACATTGATGGATTTAACGGATGGAAATGAAGCTATTGGCCTAAAATGGATCTACAAGTCTACACTCAAATAAGATGGTTCGTTACAAAGGCACAAAGCACGGTTGATAGCTAAGTAATATGCACAAGTTGAGGTATTGATTTCACTGAAAGTTATGCTCCAGTGGGTTGTTTTGATACTGTTAGAACACTTTTGGCATTGGTAGCTAATAAGGGATGAATCATTTATCAACTGGACATAAAATCTACATTTCTTAATAGTGATTTGATAGAAGATGTATATGTTGAATAACCCCAAGGATTTGTGGTGAAAGATCAAGAATAGAAGGTATACGAATTACATAAGGTGCTTTGCGGTCTCAAACATGCTCCAAGAGCCTGGTATAGCAAAATCAACTCATATTTTACGAAGAACAATTTCACAAAAAGTGCTAATGAGCCTAGCCTCTATGTTTAAAGTTACCATAATGAATTCTAGGTTGTGTGCTTATATGTTGATGATATGGTTTATACTTGAAGTTCATTTTAGATGGTGGAAGCACTTAAACAGTCCATGATCCCAACTTTTGATATGTCTGACTCGGGGTCTTTGCATTATTTTTTGGGAATTTAAGTGGTCCAAGATTTACGTGGTATTTTCATTTGTCAGAAAAAATATGCAGCCGACTTATTGAAAAAAATATGGGATGGAGAATTGCAAGAGTGCCAAGACATCGTTGAATGCAAATGAAAAGCTAACTTTGAGGGATGGAGCTGAGAAAGTTGATTTAAAGAATTTCAGAAGTATTATAGGAAGCCTCGTATATCTCACTAATAAAGGCCTGATATTACATTTGCTGTGAGTCTTATTTCTAGGTTCATGCATAGACTAAGCAAGTTTTATTTGGGTACAGCTAAAAGAATTCTTGTTATGTTCAGAGAACTTCAAATTTTGGCATCAGGTATTTAAGAAGCAACTCAAATAAACTCATTGCTTTTACTGACAGTGATTGGACTTTTTGTATAGATGATAAAGAATGCTTCAGGGTATGTGCTTAGCTTGGGATCAGGTGCTGTTTCATAGTCCTTAAAAAGTAACATAGCACTGCTCTTTCAAGCACAGAAGCAAAGTATGCAGCTGTAACAACCACAACATGTCTAGTTGTTTGGCTAAGAAAAATTTTGGAAGACCTGAAGCAAGATAATGGTGGAGGGACGGTTACATTATCCAAAAATTCGGTTCAACAAGGAAGAACAAAGCACATCTGGATGAAGCATTATTTCATTCGAGAGTTTTGAGTTAAAAAAATTGTAGAGCTGCAATACATCAACACAGACGATCAACTAGCAGACATTCTCACTAAAGCTTTACCTAAAGCCAAATTTGCTAAATTTAGATTCATGATGGGAGTTGAATTCCCTGTTGAATTAAGGGAAGGAAATGTTGGGAATTAATTCAAAAGCGATTTTTTGTTTTGACTTTGTATTTTTTATTGTGTTTGTTGCTATTATTTAGGAAATAATTTGAATTTTTGTGTTCTAGATTTGAGGTTGATCTGGTCTACACAAATCATGCCCACTAAGTTTTTGTTATTATGTGTCAATGAGTCTAGTAGAAATATCAAGGAGTAGTGGTCACATGTTTGTAACTAACAAGTGTTGAATGACTACTTAATCACTTGGTATCCTGAAATTAAATGGATGGCCAATTAATAACAAAAAGGTTTCTTCATGATATTTCATGTATTCCTTCAATTGATTGAGATTTCTACACATTATATCTTATGTTTGAGGAAATTGTCATTAACGATCTCATTTTGTGGGCCGTAATTATCGTGTTTATGCAAAGTTAGGGTATTTTTATCAATGTTTTAATATGTTTTGAAAGATGAAAGCTCATAGGATGTATCTAGGTAAGCTGGTAATCAGTTGTTTGCTTTTCTGTTTTCCTAGTACCATGAAGTTATAAGAAGGAAATGTTTTTCATGGTTTTATCTTGACGCGAAATTATGAAGTTTATCAGATTGTTTATAATGCGTTGTTATTTATGTATTGTAAGTTTGGAGTAATGGGTCCAGTTGAGAATCTTTTTTTATGGAGAACATGGTCATATTAATGAGATGATTGTTGCTTATGACAAGGCAAGATTAGAGATGAAGAGCAAAAAATTGTTTGGAGAAATGCAACATCTAGAAATCAAAGTTGATTTGAACAACCCAATATCAGTTATTTCTTCGTGTTCTAAACTGAAAACAATCAAACACTATCAATCTCTTCATTATCATGTTATTAAACATTTCATACGTGAAAATGTTCTCGTTGTTAAACTTATAAATATGTATGGTAGTTGTGGGAACTTGACTTATTTCTTTGGAATAACAAAGATGTTGCTACATGGAATAGTTTGATTTTATCTTATGCTCATAACTGACGTTCTTCCGAGGCTTTAGCTCTATTTAAGAAAATGGTTTTTGAAGGCCTAAGTCTAACAGTAAAACACTGTTGAGTTTGCTCTCTGCTTGTGGTTAGATTGCATCAGTAAAAAAAGAAGAATAATGCTGGTCAGACAGATATGAAAACAGGAATAAAAATAGGATTTTGAAATTTCGCTTAAGCCAACATTCTGTGCCAAAAAATTGAAAAAAAAAAGGAAGACAAAACATAAAGAAATAAAAAAAAAAAGATAAAGAAAACAAAAGGGGCAATCAATAGAACCCGGAAATCAGACAGATCTCACCCCCTCCCGCTTCCCTCCCACCAACTCCCTCTCATCGGCACCACCCATCCCCAATCGGAGCACCCTTCGCTGACAAGTATACTGGAGCTCCCTTTGTTCTTGGTGACTTAATAAGGTGTGTAGTTAACATAAATTTGGAAGAAAAAATTGTCAAAAAATTCATCTATGGGCCGCTTCAAAGTCCTGTATAAGATATATATACATATACATATACATATGTGTGTGTGTGTGTGTGTGGTGGTAGGCTAGTAGGTTGTGTTGAATTCTATGATTGAATGGGCTCTTCGGTCTGTCTGAATATACCATTTTTATCTGTAGACATCTTCTTAAGCTTGGTACCTGTGGAGCTGTTCGTAGAAAGGTAATAACTTACCACTGCTTAAGTAATTTATTGTATTTGCAAGGTATACGAGTCTGATTTTCTATTTTATTAACCAGTTTGCCTTGCATCAACCCCATCTACTGGAGTATAGACACCTCCTGCTGAATGGTGATTGGCAACTGAAATTTTGCGATTCTCTTGTCTTAAGCTTGGACAACTTACGTAATTGTCATTGTGTTTTTCTTGATTATGCTGAATGATTTAGAATCAATTTGCTTGAGTTTTATATTAAGTAAAGAAGTTGTAGAAGACAAATAGAGAGCCGGATTGGGATTTATCCTTCAAATTTTTATAGTTCTTGTCGAATACTGTTGTAATGACCCTTTTTATTTTTGCAGCAAAGTATGGAAGACGTAGAAGATGAGCCTATTGATGTTTTGATGGAATCCAATACTGAGAATATTACAGAGTCTGTGAATGTAGACGAAGACGATACATCAGGAAGAGATGGGTTACAGGTGTCTGAGGTAGGTATGCTATTTAAGCATAAAGAAGACATGTATGACTTCTACAAAAAATATGCTTATGCCGTTGATTTTCCCGTGAAAAAAAGGAATTCGAAAAAGGGGGAGGACGGAGTATTGAGATACCTAACGTTAACATGTAGTCGTGAAGGACGATTAAGTGGTAATAGTAGTAGTTCACCGAAACCGAAACCAACAATTAAGATGGGTTGTAAAGTAAGGATATCCGCATCTTCAAATATCCTGGGAAATTGGAGAATCAGCGTGGTCTACCTAGAGCACAATCATGAGACAAGTCCATCTAAGTCGAGGTTATTTCGATGCAATCGAACTTTGACTGCACATGTGAAAAGGAAGCTTGAAGTGATTGATTTAGTAAGGATTTCGTTGCATAAGAATTACAATTCCGCAGTTGTGGAATCTGGTGGATATAAGAATATGACTTGTATTGAATAGGATTGTCGAAACTATGTCGAACGAGTTAGGCGATTACGACTTGGAGAGGGAGATGCTGCAGTAATACAATAATACTTTTCAAGAATGCAAGCTCAATGTTCGGGATTTTATTTCAGTATGGATTTTGACAATAATTCGCGACTGAGAAACGTATTCTGGGCGGATAATCGGTGTAGGCTAGCGTACAAGGAGTTTGGTGATGTGGTTACTTTTGATACCACCTATCTTTCTAATGAGTATAACATGTCATTCGCCCCCTTTGTTGGCGTCAATCATCACGGACAGTCAACATTACTTGGCTGTAGGTTGCTGTCGAATGAGGACACTGATACCTTCGTATGGTTGTTCAAAATATGGCTTCAGTGTATGTATTGTGAAGCTATGCAGGCCATAATTACCGATCAGGATAGAGCCACGCAAAATGCAATTGAGATTGTCTTCCCGAACACGAAGCATAGATGGTATTTGTGGCATATTTTAAAGAAAGTTTCGAAAAAGTTTGGATACCACGTGGATAAGTGTTTGATATTTGGGGCTATACATGGATTAGTGTATGATTCACAGTCGAAAAAAGAATTTGAAGAAGGATGGATGGCGATGATTGACACCTATACTTTGCAGGAAAATAATTGGTTGTCAGGATTATATAAGACTAGAGGGCACTGGGTACCTTGTTTTTTGAGAATGACTTTTTGGGCAAGAATGTCGACAACATAGAGAAGCGAGAGTATGAATGTGTTTTTCTATGAATATGTGCATTCGAAGACATCGTTGAAGCAATTAGTCGAACAGTACGAACGTGCTCTCAGGAATAAGATGGAGAAGGAATTCCAAGCGAATTTCAAGTCGTTCTCTCAAATGATACCATGTGCAACACAGTTCGAAAAGGAAGAACAGTTTCGATTAGTTTACACCATATCGAAATTTCGGGAAGTTCAAGAAGAGTTCACGGGTAAAGTCTATTGTAACGTCATATCTAAGTCGCAAAGATCTTCTGAGACGACGTATAATGTACGGGAGACTGTTATGTATGATGGTCACCGTAAGAGAAAAATTTCGTCATCTCATTTGCGAGAAATAATTGTGAAATTGTTTGTAGCTACCACTTGTTTGAGTTTAGGAGAATACTTTGTAGGCATGCAATAGCGGTTCTGGACTGGAACGACGTCACATGTATTCTGGATTGGTATATTTTACAGAGATGGAGGAGGGACATTTGTAGAGCACACACGAGAGTTCCAGTAAACTACGCAGGGTTAGAGACTACTCCTGCACAATTAAGATACGAAGGGATGTCTAAAGATTTGCGCAGGTGGCGAACCTTGCTGCAGACGACGAAATGCGGTCACGTGCGATAATGGAGTGGATAAAATCGCAATGTGAAGATATGATGACCACAAGATCTGGTGGTGGTAGTAATCCCATATCGTCCCGTACCACGCAGATGTCCAATGATTGTGTGGACATGTCAAAGTCAGCAAGTGGAAGCATTCTTGATCCACAATTAGCTAGACGAAAGGATGCGCCCAGGAAGCTTAGAAAAAGAAGCCCATTGGAGACGGCATTGAAGAAAGCAAAGGTATGCTCGAAAACTGCACTTTATATTTGCAATTATTTAAATTTAAAACTAAGTGATTATCTATGAATGCAGTCTAGCGGGACATCATCCACTACTATGCGACCAAGAAATAGCAATACGAATATGGTGGATGATGCAATGAACTTTCAGTTGCCTCAACAATATTCATGGCAATTGTAGCACAGAGAACAATAAGCTAATTTATCAAAGAATAAGTACTCAATCGTAACAATTAAGAGCAAGTAATCCTAATTTTTAACACAAGCAATGTTATTCCTTCACGATAACCAAAATTCTATTGTCATCCCATACGGTGACGCGCTAATGCTAAAATTAAACGGATAAGCCAATTTATCAATGCGGACCTATCTGAGTCCATAAATTATGAGAGGTGCAAATTTGCTGCGGTAGGGCTACCACTATTCGCCCTAAATGTTCAGCAAATATACCAATACAATCAGCCACGAATGTACATTGATATCTAGGGCTAAAATCGTCCAAGTTTTCCAACATAACCTAAAACACAAAACAAATAATATCATTGCTTGCAGGAGGTCAAAATAAACAAACTACCTGAAAAAAGGTCGTCGAAAAACTCCTCCACGCGCCGCCATTGCCATACGCTACACTACCGGAGGCGCCTCCACCTGCTGGTTATGGGTCCGGCCTTTGTTCGTCCAACAAAGGTCTCATTTGGCCAAAATTGAAGAATTTTAGATTCAGTTTCAAGATGAAAATCGCGTCTCCTTTGCAATTTTGGCCGGATTTTCAACCCCAATGCTCTGATACCAGATGTAGAGCCACAAATAGTCGACCATCAAGATTTTATAGGCTCAGTTTTATAAACCCAAATCAACACTTCAAACCAAACGACCCAATAGCACCTTAAAACCTTCACCTACGGTTGCTAGAAGTTTGCTCACTTCCATTTTGATATCAAATGGGTTGTACAATGGGTCTCCAACAATAGTAGCCATCCAAGTAAGTAAATAATCAGGCCATGAGCAACACAACTTAATTTGATTTCTTAAAATGGTCCAATTAACTTTTTGGATCAAGTCGTTTTAATTTAGGTGTTGATATACCATTAGTCATTTAGTCAATGCCAACTGAAAAGTTAAACCGGTTTAACATCATTACTCGGGAGGTCGTTTGACAACAATTTGTCCAACACGGAGAAATAAGATGGAAAAGGTTAAATGCTTTGATTCTCTGATTCGAGACAAAGGGAAAGAAAAAGGAAAAAAGAAAAAAGAACAAGATGCAGTATGGGACTGTTCATGGGCTGAGTTTAAGCTAGGTTGGGTTTTTTGGACGTATGTCGTTTTAAATTTTTTTACCCTAGTTGAGCTTTTGTATGACAAAATTATAAATAAGAAAAGAGAAGTGCTACATATACATAATTGTTTACATAATGGTGTTCATAATTATATGTGGCACTGGATCCAACCTTTAATACAAATCTCACATTTGCACATCAACAACCGAATGATTGCTACATCACATTATGGACACAATTATGTACAATAATTATGTACAAGTAGAAGAAAAAATGCACGCATTTTTTTCCGCCAAAGTTTGTGCCTTAGGTAATCAACTTTACTTTGATCGCATTTTTTTTCAATCCCTACCCATAAGCTAGGCGTTTTCTCTGAACTTCAAGTCCAGATGCGTTTAGATGGATCTTTTAGAACACTAAGTACTCAAGAGTTTGGGGATAATAAATTCATTATCTTAAGAATACTGAAATTTAAAAGATTTTTTATTTTTTTTAATTCAGGTTCGACACTTGTACTATCAACAACCTTTTTAACTTTTAACGCAACAATACATAAAACTTGATAATCTAATTAAAGCCAACTCCCATTCATATTAATTCACCTTAGTTTATACTTAATAAAAGAAACGTAATTCCCGATCACATTAAAACATACGTAATTAATTAAATAATAATTTTTATTAATTTTTATTTAAACGAAATTATCTCTTTTCCTTCGTCAAATTATATTAAAAAATATATATTTATTTTACGTTAATATTGACTTGATCATCAGACTTGTTGCTGAGAATCTTGGAGGCTAAGTTATTTAGCATCGAATATAAATAAACCTTCATTATATTTTCAAAGGTGATTTCACTGATTGTGCATGCCATCCCCAACCTATGGGATGGGTAGCAAAATTGCGCCCAACCTTTGTTCATTTTTTTGTTTCTGTTTTTTTTTTTTTTTTTTTTTTTTTTTTTGTGTCAAGCTCCTCAGGCTTTCGTTTTAGTTGCAACTTTGTCCCAACTCACATTTTACACTATAAATAATAATTACACATTTTAATTTTTCTCTTATCAATATTAACTAACAATCTAAAGTTCTAAACTAATCATTATACTAAATGCTAGCGAAAAGGTTATGGTATCATGATCTATTATTAATGTTACTACTATCGTCATGCTCATGATATCTTTTTCTTCAAGAGCTATTATCGTTATCGTCATTGTCAATGTCATAAACAAATTGCCGCCAACCGACCAAGTATTTCTTTAATATAATTCCTAATAAAGGACTTCAATCAAGGTTAGTGGAGCTCATTCTGCTCAATAATTAAGCTTATCTCTGCTAATGTTTCATTAATTATTTGTGTTTCATCAACTAATCATACATAATTAATTTTGTATTATATATATTAATTAGGGCCGGTTGGTCGGTTCCAATGAATATTATCAATCAACTCCAAGTAGGCCCATTCGTCACTAAAACCTAATTCTACTGCCTATTATATAAACCATGCACGCCTTGAACTAAGCACGCGAAGAGATTAATTTGGTTCCTTAGCTTATAGCTTATTTGGCAGCTTCCAAGTGACCAAAAATGGTGAAGATTAATTGGGGTAGCATTGGCGACTCTTTTTCGGTTACGTCGCTAAAGGCTTACATTGCTGAGTTCATTGCTACCCTTCTCTTTGTTTTTGCTGGTGTTGGTTCTGCTATAGCTTATAGTAAGTCATCTTTTATGTTTTGCTAGAGTATATACACAAGTAATTCCGTCTATATTTAGTCTCTATCTGGTGGGGATTTTTAGTAGATTTTGATAAATGTTGATAAAATATGTGGTTGAAAAGTGATGAGTGTTATAAAATGTGTTGTTAAAATTAAATGTTGATTTTAGTTTAGATTAAAATTTGAATTTCAATTTTCATCGTACAGGCGCTCAGATAGTTGACCATAAGCCCGAATAAAGGAGGATCGTTGCAATAGATTAACCATAAGAATAAAAAGGTTTAGGCTTAGGTGTACTAATATATGGAGTATGATTGATGTTTGCAGACAAGCTCACGTCTGATGCAGCTCTCGACCCACCCGGTTTGGTGGCAGTCGCGGTGGCTCACGCATTTGCATTGTTCGTAGGCGTTTCCATGGCGGCCAATGTGTCCGGTGGTCATTTGAATCCGGCTGTCACATTCGGATTGGCCATCGGAGGCAACATCACCATCATAACTGGCCTTTTCTATTGGATTGCACAATTGCTTGGTTCTATTGTTGCATGCCTTCTCCTCAAATTTGTCACCGGTGGCTTGGTAAGTTATACCAAGATTAAAATTAAACTTATTTTGAGGGTAAAGCACTAAAATTGCTCATTTTGAGATCTTTAGAGCCTTTCGCGATAAGAAAAATACTCATCTTTTGGATTAACTGCATGTTGAAGCTTATTTTTAATTATTTTCTGATTGATATAAGATAGAAAACAGCTTGTCTACTCTGATGTTGGACCAAAACAAGTCATAATTTATGTAAAATCGACTTCTAAATTGAAACGTCAACTCAATTCATTATAGGTTCGTTAAGCTTTAATAACTGAGGTCACAAGAAATTACTCAAATTGTTTGAGTAGTTCGTGTTCGACTAGACAAAAACCTTACAAAACATCACCTGATACATTAAAGACTGGAGTTCAAGTATTTCATTGAATTAGCATTTAAATTCTACTCGAATTTGAGTAGTTTTACCCTTTGTTTGAAACCCCATTAAATTAAAATTCATTCTCTCTCTCTTTTTATCAAGCATACATTTTTCAATAAAACAATATTACACGTAAACTTAAATACTTTTCCTTTCTATTTAACCACACATTCTTCAAAAAATTACTATTCTTTTCATTATAATTCGAAATAATGGATCCCAAACAAGGGCCTAGACTATCGCTAGATTGAATCAAGATGGGCTTTTGCCTGAATGTGGTAAGCCCAAACCATACTAATATTTGATGTTTGGCAGGCCATTCCCACTCATGCAGTTGCTTCTGGTATGAATGCTGTGGAGGGTGTTGTAATGGAGATTGTCATCACTTTTGCTTTGGTCTACACAGTCTATGCCACTGCTGCGGACCCCAAAAAAGGCTCGTTGGGCACAATTGCACCCATTGCAATTGGGTTCATTGTGGGTGCAAACATTTTAGCTGCTGGCCCATTTAGTGGTGGATCGATGAACCCGGCCCGATCATTTGGGCCAGCCGTTGCCGCAGTCGACTTCTCTCAGAACTGGATCTATTGGGTCGGCCCACTTATTGGTGGAGGATTGGCTGGCCTGGTATATGGTGATGTTTTTATTGGATCATATGCCCCACTTCCAGTCCAAGAAGAATATCCTTAAGAATTTTTATTATTGGCAAGTACTTGTGCTTATGTAATTCTCTACCTTTGCTTTTGAGTTTGTATATTTTGATCAGGAATAGAAGATCTTGTATTTTCGACTTCGAATAAGAAATGTAAATAAATTGTATTTTTTTTCAAGTTGTTATATCTATCTCGTCTGCTACGATGTAACATCATGGAGCCAAACATGAGAACAATATGCAGTTATAAAAGTGGTAGAATTGACATACAAGAAAGACTAAAGTCGAGACTAAAGGTTTAGTTACATCTAAGCTCAAAGAAAGGTTGATCACATGGACGAAAGATCTCTAATAGAGTCATATATAACAAGAACAATTAGTTTTGATCAATTTCAAATAATTGGCGCTATCTTGTTCTGTAAAAGAACGACTTAATTAATTCTGAACAATGACCTAAAACTCATACGTAGATATGATTTTGATTGATCGTAATTCCAAGGAGGGTCCGGTGCCCTTTAAACAAGAAATCTATATCTCCATAGGATGGTCCCCAAAGACATCAAGATGAGTATATGATGTAGGTTTCACAATGCTCTCGTGTATTTCATGTGCAAATTTAATTCGTAAATTTGTTCAACTTTAATAAATAAGTGTGTCTACAATTTGTACACCTTAAAAGCATCCGCCTATTAAGGATTGTATTATGGTTATTGGTTATATGATACTGTACATTGGAAAGACACGCAGCTTGACCCCTTTTCAACAGTTAAAAACTCGTAGAAGAAAATTCCTCACATTTATAATGTGAAATATATGGGAGAATGATGATGTTGTAGCACTGAGTAATAACTCGTGTACTTACAAATATGTTGACTTTGAAAATTGTACCTTCAACGTGACCGACAAATCTCAAAGTTTTTTTGCGTCCACGTGAGCCTGTTACCACACACACCAGGACAAACTGTTAGCTTCAAGTGACCTTCTCCAGTGGTGGTGGAGGCAGTCGCGCGCACTCCGATGATTGAGTCAGTTGACAATATAAGTTAACTACACGAAACCTCTTATGTAAAAAAGGGAGTTCAACTTTGGAAGAGTCTATAATATAAGGAGATAGCAAGGTTACAGCCTAAGAGTCTATACTTGCATTATCTTAGAATGGCACAAAGCATGAACTTTTATAGTATAAAAGAATGAATAAGAATCGTGGGATGAAGAGACACATAGCCTCATTCGAATGGCTAAGACCTCTTGTCATGGGCTTCAATCAATCAAACGGCTTAATGTTAATTCCCTTTTGCCCCCAAGACATGACACATGGGGTTTGGACTCTACCTGTTGACTTATTGGGATGGAAGTTGCAGTGATGTTGTCACATTAATCGCTCATTGAAGATAGTATAAAAGATCTCCTGTCGAGTCCCCTAATAGCCTCACTTCATTCATGAGGGTTCGGATCTTGATATGGGATCGACTTCAGCAAATGAGTTTGGTCTCTCCAAAGGGATTCAATCAAAACTGCCACGTGGTCAGGATGATGTGGGGTGGGGCCTATGTAACCTCCCGAAGATTTTAGAATAAAATTTATTTATTTTATATTTTATATATTTACATTTTTGAAAGTTGAGAACTAAAATGAAAAATGTTTTAAATTTCTATTTTATTCATTCCAAATAATTAGATTTTGATGGAGCGATATTTAATATATCAATATTAGACTCATTTTATAGGTCGTAATTAATTAGAAGTCTTTGACTCGAGAAAAAAAGTTACTTTGGATAAGAACACATTAAGTTAGACCCCATTGAAAGAAAATAGGATAAATAAAATTTTATATAAATTATAAATCAATTCATTTTCTCTCTCCAAAAACGTGTAGATTGGGTATTGAATTTTAATTTTTAGTTTAATATTAATCTATTTTGAATTTGATGTGATAGCTAGTTTCCTATTTGGATAACTATGAATTTGTTATTATAATCCAAAACTAGATTTTATTCAATAGGGTACATGTTTTATAATATAACTCAACCACTTTTTATTACTATACATAGATTCCATAATTCACACACCAAAAATTATACACACGTAAGACAGACAAAGAAAGAGAGAGAGAGAGAGAGAGGGTACTTTTGGGAACTAGAAAACAAGAAACTATTTTGTAACTCTTAAATAAACGAGATAAGATACTTATGTGCAAGTGGTTCATTTCATTATGCTTTTATATATTCAATTAAAAATGCATGAATTGCCAATAGACATTCGTTTTCTTTAAAAAGAGATATGAAATCCTACGGGATTATAAAAGGGCCTAAGATCGGTGTATCGCTTAGTCACCGATATACTTCATAATATCAGATGGTATGAAGTATAATTTTTATTGTTAATATATATGTATATGGAAACTCACATATCTTATTGGGTGTTCTCGAATACTCACTCTTACAAATTTTTACAGGTTAGTTCAAGTCGATTGGATTTGTGGTAAGGTGGTGATGCTGGATCGTAGTAACAAAGCAAATTTTTCATTAAATTTTTCTATCTTCATAATTATTTGTTTAGTGTTATTTTCCATATACAATTGCTATGTTTAACAAAGCATGTTTAGTGTTATTTTCCATATACAATTGCTATGTTTAATTTAAATTTATGGATGCCACAGTTATTATTTATTAAAGAATTTTATTTTGATCTTTTTGCATGTAAAGTAAAAAAAAAAATGAATTTTTGGTAATGTTCCGGTGTTATGAAAATTTGGGACGATAGAGTTTGGTATCAGAGCACGATTTGACTTTTCTGTAGACTTATTTTTGAAAAAAAAATTCTAAAACAGTTCACGTGAAAAATTAAAAAAAAAATTGAAAGAGAGAGAGAGAGAAAAAATGTGAACAGTAACAAAAAAATTTAAAAAAAAAAAACTTCATGTTTATATTTTTTTTTCTCTTTTGAAAGTTAAATGTTTGTATTTAAATCAATTTTGAATGATAGTAGTCTAGAATTTAAATTGTTATGGTTTCATGACTATGGTTCAAATTTTACACGTGATAAATTTTTGTGCATTTTAAAACCTTCTGAGATGTTTTAAAAATTGACCAATTTGAAAATTCACATTTTAAGAAATTTCACGTTTGATTTATTGTTTAAGTTTTGTTGATTTGCATAACTGCAAAATTGAAAGGTTTTGTCAAAAAGATCTAAACTGTCTAAAAAGAGTTTGAGATTTAAACGGTCCGCCTGTGACCCCCTCCTCATCTGGAAGCCTTTTAGTTGTGCGTTATTCAAATCGACGTGGCAGAAAACAAAATTTCAAACATTCTAATTTTTATTTTTATTTTTATTTTTATTTTTAAAAGAAAAAAATAAAATAAAATAATAAATAAATATATATATATACACACTAATATATAAGGAGTCTATTTTTGGAAATTTTATTTTGAGAAGATCCTATAAAAATAAAATAAAATAAAGGGGTCTATTTTAGGAAACTTTTATATATACATGAATTATAGTTTTTTTTTTTAACATCGGAAAGAGAGAGAGAGAGAGAGAAATAAGGAAATTAATTAATTAAAGTCTTAGACGTTTATGAGATAAGAATCATTGGCACGATACGCTCACTACTTGACCACTCTCCAATTAATCCCAAGAATGAAATGTAATGACATATTTATAGCATGATTCATATTATGAAATGTATAAGCATGTTTACCTCGTATAATACATTTGGGATTTTTTATTTTATTTTTTTTACATTTTACTAGAATATCGTGTATGCACTGAGAATAAAATAATATTGATAATGCAAGATTAAGCATAATTGAAATTATACTTGTCACATGATTAGGATGACTAGGAATAGCCCAACATACCTCCAGCGTGCTAAAATGGCCATTGAGAACTATATAAATTATGAAGTAAGATGGAAGCGAACTTTTGTTGAACATGTTGAAGATCTCCTTTCTAAGTGGGAACGAGCAAGATCATTCAGATATAATGAAGGGACAGTCCTCTCGATATACCACCTTATAAGCACTATGAGACCTCAATGGAGAGACGTGGCTTATTTCATGAGGGATATGGATTATGAGTTATATTTGAAAGAAGATTGGGATAAAATTGATTTTAAAGGATATTGTGAGGATATCATAATTTTATGGAATTACAGACAACAAGTACCAGCGTCAGAACCCGAACCAAAGCCAGAGAAGGACTCGGAAGAGGATCTAGAGGAAGATATCGAACCAGAGCCGAAAGACCCTGAGCAAGAAATCCAACCATGAAATTTCGTTGATTTGGTTGTAGATTCCGAGCTAGAGTCGTGCGTTACTTCGAATGATGAGATGCCCTGAAAAAGAAGATCTTTTTTTTTAGACTCACAAGGATTAAAAATAAGTGTTATTTATTTACTTAGGAAAATTTTAATTGTTTATTTATTTATTTATTTGATTTTGAAGAGCAAGTTACTATATGTAAGGATTTGAAAATTTATATTTTTAAAGTTATTCATTATTACAAAGATTATTAATAATATTAGGTTGTTTTATCAAATATTCCTAAATTAAAATTTTATTTGTGTTAAAAAATGTCAAGACAACAACAAAATCAAGCTACGATCATCAGGGATTTGCTAAGAGCGGTACAAGATCTGGGTAGGCAACAAACACAGGCTAGTCCCCATGGTGCAAACATAACAACACTAGCTCAATTGTGGAACAGTTTCGTCGCTACAAGCCCCCAACCTTCGATGGCAAGGCAGACCCACTAGCAGCCGAAGAATGGATAAGTGGAATGGAGCGAATTTTCAAACATCTATCTTGCACTAATGCTCAAAAGGTGTTATGTGCAGAATTCAAGTTGGTTGACGCTGCATACCACTGGTGGGAGTCAACATCTTGCACTAGAACAGAAGCACAACAACATGCTCTGACGTGGACACAATTTAAGGACGAAGTGATGGGAAAATACTTCCCCTAAGCTCTGAGATGTTAAAGGAAACAGAATTCCTTTAATTTAAACAGGGAAAAATGAAGCTTGAGGATTATGAGAGAAAATTCGAACAACCCTCGAGGTATGCACCACACCTTGTGGACACTAAAACAAAGAAAGCAAGGAGGTTCGAACTAGGATTGCGTCCTAAGATTGGTGGACGATTGGTATTCCACCAATTCACCACCTATAGCCGAGTATTG